GATGTTAGGATATAAAAGTTATCCGGTACGAGCTTTTGTGCCGAATACATTACGTTGTTACAGGTGTCAAGCTTATGGGCATGTGGCAGTAGTGTGTACGAGGGAGGTTCCTAGGTGTGAGAAGTGTGCAGAAGGGCATGAGACAAAGGAATGTGTAGCATTGGGGAAAGTAGTGGTATGTGTTAATTGTAGGGGTGCCCATGGGGCTGGGAATCCGAAATGCCTGGTGCGAGAGAGGCAGGTTGAGGTTTCCAGGGTTAGAATAGTGCAGAAGTTGTCATATGCTGAGGCAGTGAAGAAGTAGAGGAAGATGGGTCAAGGGGGAGGGATCCTGAGAGGAATGGTGTGAGTAGTAGATCTGTACCAATACAGAGGGATAAACCAACAAGTGATATATGTTTCAGTAAGATTGGATTTTTGGCATTTATAGCAATGGTTATCAACTGTACTGCAGGGATGGAACGTAAGTCGAAGAAAATAGAGGTTGTGGTGGCAGCTGCAGAGAGGTACTTGGGTGTGCGAGACTTGACATCAGAAGAGTTACAGGGTGTGTTAAGTGGTGGTGTCCCATCCTTTCAGGCTGTTGGCCTGAAGTAGGGTATTGTAGTTATTATTATTATTTTTTTGTGAGTGTAGTGTTAGATGGTAGGGTATTTTTTATTTTTTAAAGCAAAGTATAAGGGAGTCTAGTAGGTGGCAGTAATTCAACATTTATTGGATGCCAACTGCCATTAAACCTCATCGAAGAAAAAGACAATCACCGACGAAGGGGCGTAGACTTCGGCTACAGGAAGTTGTACAAGCCTCAACAAAAAATGTGATGTGTTCGAACAGCCGAAAAAAAACACCAAAACGAACAAAATGTCACAATATTTCGTCATAATATATGCGCAAACTGTTTTGACTGGGAAGCATACGGTAAGCTTTAGTAGGGACCCACCAAAATCAGCTCTTATCGCAAACGCAGATGGGGCATGGATTTTGTCAGCGGTGGCCATGGCACAATGCCTATGTAAAAAAAAATATCTGCTCACTGTTCTGCTTCTCTCCAAACGTGACCTTTTAACAATATGACTGAAGTTTTATTGAAATATCACGTTTATGAGCAGCAAAACAGTGAGCGGACGTTCCCTTTTTATCTATGTATATGGGACATTCTTTTAGCCAGTTCCTGTTATTATTTTGGATGTGTGTAAAACCCCCTCCACAGACAACCTGGTATCAGAGCATTTCGTATAATTCTATACTAAATTCCGGGACACTCCATTTAGTATATGTTACATTTCGTATGGTATGTATTAATTTGTGGCTGTCCATCACCCATTTTGTATGATATGTTACGAATTACAATTCGTATAATTTTAATTAGCAAACTTACAATATGTTTCGAATTTTCAAAACGTAGCTATTCTAGTTAGGTGGCGAACGTTAGCTAGTTGGCTAACGTTAGCTAGGCTAGGGGTTAAGTTTAGGTGTTAGCTAAAAGGGTTAAGGTTAGGAGAAGTGTTAGCTAACATGCTAAGTAGTTGCAATGTAACTAATTAGATAAAATGCTAAAGTCTTCCATGATGAGATTTGAACCTTTTGATTACTAGACGTTCGTGTTATACACCCACCCATCCATCCTGACCAACCAGCCTAACATAACCATCTGTGTTATGTAACCATACCAAACGTAACATATCATACTCATTTGAGTGTCCAGGATTTACTTTTACTATGTTATGTCTACTCTATGAGACCAGGCTTACTATTGCTATTATCCATTACTGTATGCTATTTAATAAATGGTTCCACCAGGCTACAACATTGGTGCATGGTGATGTCTTTCAAGAGAGATGTCATATTGAGAAGGAAATAGACATTCCTAACATTTTTCAATTCATAATCCAATCAACATTGTATTATTTTTCATCCCATGTCATCAACAACTTCTAGATATATCACCCCGGATGCCCTCAACTAAATGTATTCAGTGTTGCATGGAAACCCCATGAATTTTGCTGTGATGTCACGGAAGGCCCCTTGCTGTAGCCAGTGTAGTGTATGTAGCATATAAAGACACAAGCAAGGAAGTGGCTCTGAGAGTCCACATCTGAATCTGACAGAGTCAAGATGGCACTAAATCTACAGCTTTGCTTCCTAGTCTTGTTTGTAAGGGGTGAGTAGGCTACTTCACTGAAAGTAATTGTTTCTGAGACAATGAAGTACAAAGTACCCAGGCAGGGTACATGTATACAATACAGATTGACCAAGTTATATGACTGATCTGTTTTGATCACAACTTTGAAATGATATTCAATGACATATTTTTGTTGTAAGATATCATAAATCAATGTTTGCTGTATTCATATTTGTATAGATGTTTTATATTGTATACGTTTCCTCACTATTTCTTTACGTCTGTGTGTCAGATCAATTAGAATGGAACTGCTTTTTTCTTGACTGGTGCTGTGATGCATTTACAGTGGGGTCCGAAATGATTGACACCCTTGATAAATACTGAGCTATATTGTATGCTCCAAAAAATTGGGAAATCATATTATTTTATACTAATACAATCGCTCAGAGAAATATATTTTGTTGGAGAACACATTTGGAGGGATCTAAGACCATTCTTCCAAACAGAATCCTTCCAGATCTTTGATATCCTTCGTTGGCGCTAATGAACTGCCCCTTTTCGATTCAAACCACAGGTTTTCAATGAGTTTCAAGTCCGGAGACTGAGATGGCCACTGCAAAATGTTGATTTTGTGGCCAATTAACAATTTCTTTGTGGATTTTGATGTGTGCTTGGGGTTATTGTCTTGCTGGAAGATCCAGCCAAGTTTCATCCTCCTGGCAGAGGCAACCAGGTTTTTGGCTAAAATGTCCTGGTACTGGGTAAAGTTCATGATGCTGTTGACCTTGAAAAGGGCCCAATGACCAGTGGAAGCAAAATAGCTCCATAACATCAAAGATCAACTACCATATTTGACAATAGGTATGGGGTTATTTTCTGCTCATGTATTCTCATTTCAACGCCAAACCCACCACTGGTGTGAGTTGCCAAAGAGCTCTATTTTCATGTCATCCAACAAATGGAAATGGCCGAAGTTTGCTAAACAGCATTGGCACTTGGATTGGAACCGGTGCTTTGGTCAGATTACATGAAAATATAACTATTGAAGTATTGAAAACAGGGGTGTCAATAATATTGACTTCTACCTTTTTGAGAGAAAAAAGTATTGTTAAACAAAATCTCTTTCTCTGAGCAAGTGTATTACTATAAAATAATATAATTTCCCCTTTTTTGAGCATACAATATAGCTCTGTAGTAGCTTATGTATTGTATACTGTAATTGTTGCTCATCTTCAAGGGTGTCAATAATAATTGCTCTACTGTAAGTGCATCTGAATGATGGGACCCATAGATTGTGAGATATATCATTGCTGTTATAAAAATTTACAGCCTACCATATAATGTATACAGGTGAATACTTTGACCACAGTGCCCTACTTTTGATTACACAATCATCTCTTAAAGAATTCTCAATAATCCTCCACCATTTTTTAAATTTTTATGTCACATAGCATGTATACTATACTACTCTATAGTATATTATTAACTGGGTGGTTCGAGCCCTGAATGCTGATTGGCTGACAGCCGTTGTATATCAGACCGTATACCACGGGTACGACAAAATATTAGCCGTGGCATATTGGCCATGTACCACACCCCCTCGTGCCTTATTGCTTAAATAACCATCTTGTGTTTTCTCTGGCTTGACTGAAAGTTGTGACAACACAAAAATAATAGACATGATCAAATGCTCTGAGGATTGCATCACAGTGAAAATGTGTACTTATTGCTTTGTTGTCATCTTGTGTTTGGTGGCTGACATTGAAATTATTGTCTTTGCACCTCTGAATGTCATTTGGTGACTTTTTAATCATATAGGATGGTTTTCAAATTGATAATATTTGTCTGGTCATTCAGTTTATTAGGAATTGGCAAAAAGGAAGACCCAGCACACTGCAATACATGCTCTAAGAGTGTTTATTTTCACAACGTTTCAACCATTAGGTCATCATCAGCTCTCATTGGGATTCATATACCTAATTAAATAATTAACCTTGAATTCAACCATTGCAGACAGCTCTAAAAATCATTAGGGTTAATTATAAAATACAGTAATTCCATGGACCCCCATAGACCACCCCCATGGAATTTATATTGTTCAGTCAGTGCTATATGCAGCATGACCCTATCATAAGGTGAGATTCTGCTAGCCCACACAATGTATGAAAACAGTTACCCTTTAAAACGTTTCAAGCCCACCAACACATTTGGTGTAGATTTGTCCCCACAGTTAATTTACAAAATACAGTAGGCCAACCACTACTCATCATAGCAGTAGCATAGGAAAAAGGAACACATGACACTCACATAGACAGTTTGAAGAAAACCACAAACCCCTTGCTTTCTCTTTCACACCCCTCATGTGATCGGTGACTGTCCACACTATATTTGATTTCCTGTCAGTCGCAGTGCAGAAGGTTGGCTGCATAATCTGTAGGTGTGCGTACAGTGACAAATGCACCCCCCTCATGTTGTTGTTTGTCACACCTCCCATAACCTCAAGCCTGACAATGGCAGCTCGACCTCCTTCAGTTTCCTCTGTAGCCCCCAGTGGCAGAGTCTGACCAGGGGAAGACCGAGAAGTAGGACAGTGCTATGAGTCAGAGATGTGAGAAATGAAGGGTCTGACTCAGGTCTTTTCCAGTTAATTTACACTGCCCACTTATTCATCTATCTACGACCCCTAAATTTCCTCTTTATATGATTGCTTTTCAATACAGTCCATCCATGATCATATTATGTTCATGGCATACTGTGCATGTGTAAGAAAGAGGAAAGGGCTGTTGAAAAGTAAGGTGAACTTGAAATTATGTTGGAACCTTCCATCATGTCAATCAAGGTATGTCCTATACTAAATCATTGGTTTTTGCCATTGCAGGATCCGTTGCAGTGCAACATATGACCGTGATGGAGGGTGAGACACTAACCATGAAGTGTCGCATTAGAAATGCCCAAAAGAGCCACGTGGAATGGAAGAATCCTGATGGGCATGTGATGTTTTTTAATGACCAGAAGGGTGAGGATCTTATAATACCACCTATAGATATTTATTATGATATATTTGATATACTGAAACAAAGCAGTATTTTCATTTGAAAGAGTGGAAGCCCACTAAATGAGCCATACAGGACTTGATTGTATTAATGTTGACAGCTGTATCAAATCAAAATAAAATTGTATTTGTCACATGCGCCAAATACAACGGGTGTAGACTTTACCATGAAATGCTTGCTTGTATAGCTCGCTTGTATGGCTAGAATGATAATAGTTGTACATGATACAAGTAAAAATGTTTGTTCCTACTCATATTGTAACATCTTTGTTATGAACTAAAGTAGTTGAGTCATCTTGTGACATGCCTTCTCTCATCTTCACTAACAGCCCTGAAGGACAAGCGCTACAAGATAATAAACTTGTCTGAGTCTGATTTTTCAGTCAGTGTGTCTGATGTCACCTTCAAAGATGGAGGCCTCTACACATGTTTACAGTACAGTCACAAAGTGCCTGTAGTGAAGTGGGTTAATGTGACAGTTTTGGGTAAGTATAACATATTGTAATAGCACCGTTTTATAGGGATTAAGAAAGCACACAGCCTTCCCTTTTACTTAGTAGAATATTCATATTGGCACAGGAGGTAGAGTGCTTGCCTTGTTCCCACTTCAAACTAATTCAGTTGAAATCAAAAATCATAACATCACTCTTTTTGTGATTCTCAAGGTAAGCCAAAATTGGAGATAACAGAACACAATGGAAAGACTGCCATCAAATGTTCTGCAGTGGGAAATGGCCATCCTCCCAAAATCTCATGGCTGTTGGAGAGTGGGTTAGAAATGTATGGTAAGTGTCCTTCATTCTAGATTTATTTCTTAGATTTCATGACGTCAAAATGGCAAAGGATTATGTTACGAAACCACCTAGCTAGCCTACTGATTTTGATACACTCGCTAATTCTAGGGCCCTAGGCCTAGCTAAAGGGTCTGTAGGTCTGTAACCTGATTTGATGTGTGCAATAATGTGAAAAGGTGTTGAATGCATGTGCTCCAGGAGACGGCAAACTTACCAGCTCTGTCTTGACTCCTTGGTCGGCCAGCCCAAGTGATTTATGTTTTTTTATTTATTGTGCATGACCAACAAATAATAGTGTATATACAAAAAGGATAACAAAATATGGCATGATAAAAACTAAAGATTCAAACCAAACCAAAGGTGCACATGGCCACCAAACTCCAGCAGCCTCATGGCTCTGCCAGCTGCCACACCTTCTTCTTCGGTGGAGTTTAACGGCGGTTGGCATCCAATATGTTGCATTACCGCCCCCAACTGAACTACAGTATAAATCCATTACTAAGTGGGAAAAATAAAATACAAATATATTTTTAATTACCCTACCAACTAACCCTACACACCTCCTCAGCATAAGACATATTTTGCACTACTCTGACCCTGGCCACCTCAACCTGCCTCTCTCACACCGGACACCTCCGATCCCCAGCAACATGAGCACCCCTACAGTTGACAACAACTTTTTCCACCGAAACTACACATTCCTCTGTCCCATGTGCTCCTGCCCACATCTTGGAATCTCCCTCCTACACACTGCTGCGACACGCCCATAAACGTGACACCAAAAACACTGCAGTGTATTCGTCACAAAAGCTCTAACAGCATAACTCATATCCTAACATTACTTTGTCAGTTAAAGACACTGAATCAAAGCTCAAAAGAACAGACTGTGTCACTTCTGTTTCGCCACACCCCCCACCGGTTCTGCGTCGCATTAAACAGCGGGCATCACAAACACCAGGAATCTTCAACTTAAATTGCTCCACCTCCACACTTAACGCTACCTCAGAAATCACTCCCTTCAATGGTGCCCTGTACCTAAGCGCAAAGCAAGATACAGGTATTTCCCAAAGTTGTGTCGCACGGAGCGCCTGCTCCCTCTGATCTGAAGAAACACAAGCAAGCGTCCACTTCGGGTTACCTTAACCTACTTGACAGCACACACCATCTTTTCCACCCAACCTGAAACCACCCATGGATCAGCCAAAAGGCCTGGTTCCACCCTCTTCAAAAATCTCTCTCCCACTGGACAAACTTATCTTTATCATAACCATGTCCATCAATGCAAGGCTCGGCCTCCGAGTTCCTTACAACACCTTCTACCCCTTTCATTTTACCTCCAGAACTCGAAACTGGCATCCGGCTCACTCTGTTTGAACTTGACACCAATCTTCCTCGACATACCCTCTCCCTTGTTATTGCTAGCTTCAACAGATTCAAACCCATCCTCTGCCTCCCTCAGTCTTTTCAGCCTCCTCCTCTTTTTCTCTCCAATCCTCCTCCCTTAACCAATTACCCAACTCCTGAAAATAATAAACTTTTCCTAAATCTCTTTTTAGCTTACTTGAGACCTGCTAAGCCCTGTACTCCCTCCACTTTAAACTCGAGCTATCGCCAGTTCATAAACAATCTATGCAGCTATCAGATTGTTTAGAATCAGTTGCCACACCTGTGCACAATCAACACTTAACTAGACTTCCTGGCAGAGCACAGCCCCTGACACGGTTGCTACTGCCACCTGGGGATGGAGTGTGGAAGGGGTAGTGTAGTGTCTAATTGAGCTCTTAAGAACTAAACTACCTAACCTATTCCATAACAATTAGGAAAAGTTTAGAGTCAAACTAAATTGTGTTGTCCCATATTAGTATTGTAGCGATCCTTGCTATATGAGCCACGTTTCCCTGCCCTGCCGTTCACTACATTGGTGTCAGAAGTGCAATGTGGGCTGTGAGGCTATCGGAACGCACGGCCGGACGTGTGAAAGGTTAGCGGTAGGTTGAAGCACAGAGATGTGCCTTTCCGTTCGGAGGGGGCAGTGTAGCAATCCTTGCTATATGAGCCACATTACAATTTTCCACCAAGTGGATTAACCCTGTTGGCACGATGTGTAGGGTGTCTGCCTTTCACGCAAGCGACCCGAGTTCGCTTCCCTGCCCTGTCGTTCACTATAGTATTTGACAAATAATAACAACCATTGTCGTGGCTTGTGGGAAATATAAACATAAGACAAGTCAAAATAGAATAGGAAAAGACTTGGAGTAGTAGGAGACTGAGAATTTTGTGATGAGATATAAAAAAGGGAAAGGCCTTAAAACGGTTTAGACATCCCCTGCGAAACAAAATCCCACACACATTCCACTTCATCTCATCCAAAATAAAGGGAATTTATATTTCTGTATGTTCCCTGTAAAGTGCAGTGCAGGTCAGCTATTATAAGAAGAAGGATGATGGTTGTTTGTTGACGTTTTGTTACATATGACATTTTTACACTTTCAGTCAAAAGTTAATTGAACCTCTCTGTTGTTATTTAGCTCAGCCCCAGTATCTGTTGGACAAAAACACATATTCCTCCCTGGATATCTTGCATGTTCAGTCCCACAAGAGGAGAGTCACATTGAAATGCATCGTTCGCCATCCAGCCTTACACAATTCATCCCTGATGAATTTCGTCAAAATTGGACAGAATCGTAAGTACTACGTTTATTGTTCACACTTTTGACCTTTGATTTGATTAGTTGTCGAGATGGCATCCACGCTATGGGAGGTTGAATTTATAAGGGTATGATCAATGACAATACTGTGACATAAAGCTCAGATGACCTCCTTGAGGGTAAGGTGGAAATATCCAACAAAGAATAAAAAAACAGGTCTGCCTTTATTTTAAATGTAGTTCTGCTTGCAGTGGTCTATTTGAGGAACATTGAAAGGAAAGTGTGTACTTTTGTGGTTTCAGTGCACAGTCACACTGTGGGTACTTTTCTCACTTTAAAATATGCCATTAGAATGCTACACTAGGGTATCTTGACCACACAAACATCAACATCATCATGTGATTTACTCTCTCTGTAGGGAGGAATACACTGACATCCCAAAGTCACATTTCTACAAAAACATTCAGATAGATCATATTATTCACTTCAAGTTATTTGAACTGCACTATAACTTCATATACAAACACTTCATAATAGTGGCCAAAAGTCTTAGCAAGAGACAATTGTCATTTGTGAACATGGTTTGCATTGTACAATAACTGAAATTCCCTTTTATCTTATAGCCACTGAGGAATCACACTCCACTGCGAGAGCCTCTCATTGGCCCAGTACAGAAGGTCCAACAGAGGTAACAACAACAACAACAACAGTCTCCCGTTGGCCTAGTACACAGGTGTCAACAGAAACACCAACAGCTACAGCCTTAGATTGGCCCAATACAGAGGGATCACCAGCATCAACCCCTGACTTACAACTCAGCACTCACAGTAAGTAAAAAATATTAATATTCATTATTAAAAACATCGACTATACGACTTACTGATCATTTTGACATGACAAGACTTATAATGCATATACGGAAGAACAGAACAGCCATGGTGCCCTGAGGTTGAATCTACACATCTTTTGCGAGTTGGTTTTCAACATGTTTTGTGAACACTGCTTAGGTGCAAAACCACAGCACTTGGTTCTTATACCAGAAAGTCTGTTTCCTGAAACGGAAGTCAATAGCAATATTAACCATATACAGTGCATTCGGAAAGTATTCAGATCCACTTTTTCCACATTTTGTTACGTTACAGCCTTATTCTAAAATGGATTAACCTCTTAAGGATCAGACCTTTTTTTCAATTTTCGCCTAAAATTACATACCCAAATCTAACTGACTGTAGCTCAGGACCTGAAGCAAGGATATGCATATTCTTGATACCATTTGAAAGGAAACACTTTGATGTTTGTGGAAATGTGAAATTACTGTAGGAGAATATAACACATTAGATCTGGTAAAAGATAATACAAACAAAAAAACATGCATTTTCTAATTTTTGTTTTGTTCCATTATCTTTGAAATGCAAGAGAAAGGCCACAATATTGCAGTTGAGGCACGATTTAGATTTTGACTAGATGGCAGCAGTGTGTGTGCAAAGAGTTCAGATTGATCCAGTGAAGCGTTGCAATACTGGACTATTTTGTATCAAGTCTGCCCAAATGTGCCGAATTGGTCAATTGATACATTTTCAAGTACATAACTATAGAGAACCTACAAAAATGATATGGTAATACAAAATGTAAGTTTACACACTCCCAGGAATGTCATACATGCTGGATCATTAGCTTATACACTCAATTTCACACATCTAGATGGCCAGGTGGGGTGGGTGTGGAGACAGAGACAGCAGGGGTTCAAACTGTAGAACCCAGTTCCTGCATTTTAATATAAAAATTGATTTTATCAAACAAAGCTATGCTACATTTTATGTCTGGGACCCTTAGGATGACAAATCATTACTGAATGTAAGTACATTATTTACCTTGATACGTTTTTTGTTGTTGTGCACTCTCCTCAAACAATGGCACTGTAATAGCTACTGTAAATTGGACAGTGCATTTAGATTAACAAGAATTTAAGCTTTCTGCCCATATAAGATATGTCTATGTCCTGGAATGTTTGCTGTTACTTACAACAGTCATGCCAATCACATTAGCACATGTTAGCTCAACTGTCCTGTATACGGGACACCGATCCCTTAGAGGTTAAATAGTATTTTTCCCTCATCAATCTACACACAATACCCCATAATGACAAAGCAAAAACAGGTTTTTAGAAATTGTTGCTAATTTATTAAAAATAAACTGATATCACATTTACATAAGTATTCAGACCCTTTACTCAGTACTTTGTTGAAGCACCTTTGGCAGCGATTACAGCCTCGAGTCTTCTTGGGTATGACACTACAAGCTTGGCAAACCTGTATTTGGGGAGTTTCTCCCATTCTTCTCTGCACAGCTATTTTCAGGTCTCACCAGAGATGTTCGATCGGGTTCAAGTCCGTGCTCTGGCTGGGCCACTTAAGGACATTCAGAGACTTGTCCCGAAGCCACTCCTGCGTTGTCTTGGCTGTGTGCTTAGGGTCATTGTCCTGTTGGAAGGTGAACCTTCGCCCCAGTCTGAGGTCCTGAGCGCTCTGGAGCAGGTTTTCATCAAGGATCTCTCTGTACTCTGCTCTGTTAATATTTGCCTCGTTCCTAACTAGTCTCCCAGTCCCTGCCGCTGAAAAACATCTCCACAGCATGATGCTGCCACCACCATGTTTCACCGTAGGGATGGTGCCAGGTTTCCTCCAGACGTGATGCTTGGCATTCAGGCCAAAGAGTTCAATCTTGGTTTCATCAGACCAGAGAATCTTGTTTCTCATGGTGTGAGAGTCCTTTAGGATCATTATGGCAAACTCCAATCGGGCTGTCATTTGCCTTTTACTGAGGAGTGGCTTCCGTCTGCCCACTCTACCATAAAGTCCTGATTGTTGGGGTGCTGCAGAGATGGTTGTCCTTCTAGAAGGTTCTCCCATCTCCACAGAGGAACTCTGGAGCTCTGTCAGAGTGACCATCGGGTTCTTGGTCACCTACCTGACCAAGGCCCTTCTCCCCCGATTGCTCAGTTTGGCCGGGCGGCCAGCTCTAGGAAGAGTATTGGTGGTTCCAAACTTCCATTTAAGAATGATGGAGGCCACTGTGTTCTTGGGGACCTTCAATGCTGCAGAAATTGTTTGGTACTCTTCCCCAGATCTGTGCCGCGACACAATCCTGTCTCAGAGCTCGACGGACAATTCCTTCGACCTCATGGCTTGGTTTTTGCTCTGACATGCACTGTCAACTGTGGGACCTTATATAGACAGGTGTGTGCCTTTCCAAATCATGTCCAATCAATTGAATTTACCACAGGTGGACTCCAAGTTGTAGAAACATCTCAAGGATGATCAATGATAACAGGATGCACCTGAGCTCAATTTCGAGTCTCATAGCAAAGGGTCTGAATACTTATGTAAATAAGGTATTTTTGCTTTTAATTTATACATTTGCAACAATTTCTAAAAACCTGTTTTCGCTTTTTCATTATGGGGTATTGTGTGTTGATTGATGAGGGAAAAAAAAGTATTTCATCAATTTTAGAATAAGGCTATAATGTAACAAAATGTGGAAAAGGTCAAGGGGTCTGAATACTTTCTGAATGCACTGTAGGTCCTCAGTAGTAAACCTTAGTCAAACTTTCAGGGAGAACTTCGGGATGTGCTTTCATTTGTAGTTCATTTAAGGTACCGGTAGTTTGTTATTTGTTATTATACATATTGATTTGAATTAGAACATTTCAATCTGTGGTACAATCAGTGAGTGAAAATGACATACACTGTCATGGGGCGGCCAGCCCACTCAGTGTTCGAAGCTACAGGGTACACACTTGCTAATGACAGCAGCAGCAGAACTGCCGGTAAGAACAGGACTAACCATAGCTAGCATTGTATGGGAAGACGTTTAAGTGTCCTTGCCATCTAGGTTTATAAATTATTCAGTAGGCTGCTTCTCCACCTAGTGGTGTCGCTCCATCACTACAGATGGGCATCATACCAGCATCCAAAAGTATTTTATTAGTTTCAATTTAATTGAATCACTATCATTTTATCCACAAATACACTCCATATCCTCCTGAATAATGTGACTGTACTGTCTAGAATAGCTGTCATTCATTCCCCTGTAATTCCATGTAGGTTGGTCGTCAGTGTCCCAGACAACAGAGAACACACCTCATAATGGCACAGGAAGCAACTCCACCAATGCTAGAGGTAAGACAGTCTTACTATTTTTGTAAGTGCATACAGGTCCGGTTAAGTGAGTCATGTTTAGGTGCTGTGTAAGCTAGACATGGATGTAAGGCTACAGTAGAAGAGGCTAAAGTTGCACTGATGGTCTCATTCACAGGAAGCTTATTCAATGACACGGAGAAGCAGAGAGGAACTGGAGGAAGTGCGCCATTGCTCATCTTCCTTGTGACATGCCTCATCCTCGGTCTGCTTGTGGTCGTTTCGCTCTTCGTGATCAAGCTGAGGAGGGCTCACATTCTCTGGAAGAAAGGTAAATAGAGACCAGGACACCTTTCAGCTCTTACTGTTTAGGATCTTCTCATGACTTGGCATGTTTGGTCATCTTTGGTTTATGGCAGATGTGCACAACTCCAGTCCTCAACTGGAATTTTGCTCCTGTTGGTTTTCCTTTCTCCCTGGCACTTCGATCAATTGATATTAACCAAACACATATACCTGCTGCCCTCAAGGACTTGAGTTGTGTGCCCCTGATTTATGGCTTATATGTATGCAGGTATATAAGTAATTATTCAGAAATTATCATAGTTTTGATCATTACAGAAAATGAAGACTCGGATCAATCTGTGGAGAGCAACAGATCAAAATCAAGCAATGAAGACAAACAATCTAGAGGAAGAAGGGGCAACGGTAATAATTTACATTCTACAGACTGCAGCCAATGAAACAACACAATGACAAAAAAAGCCCAATTATAAGGCCTATGTCTAATACATGCTCAAATGGTAGGACATTTTATATGTTCCACGTGGTAAAAATGCCTGTTTTTCTAGGACTCTTTAACATCAGATTCACAAAGTATGTCGTTGAGGAACCCACGGCAACAGAGACGACGACAACAACAACAAACACCAAAACAGAAGAGGATCCTGAAATTCAAGTCATCCCACAGATAAATGGAGCAACCCAAAGCCCTCCGATCAAGGAGACGGAACTGTAACATTTTCCAGTGTGTGTGTATTTTCATATAGAGAATTTACATTGAATTCTAAGTAATCACCAAAACAAAGATAGTTTAAGATATAGTGTGTAGATACAATACAATTGTACAATATTTCCAGAGAATAATCCATATCCTTATGTTGTATATTCTGTATAAATGTATATTCTGTATATTGATAAAACAATGAAATCATACATAATAGCAGCTTATGAGCCTGTGTACACACAGAATTATCCACCATATCAAAGTACATGTTTTAAAACAATATTCCATCTTAGAATATGGAGCAACATCTACAGTGGGGAGAACAAGTATTTGATACACTGCCAATTTTGCAGGTTTTCCTACTGAAAAAGCATGTAGAGGTCTGTAATTTTTATCATAGGTACACTTCAACTGTGAGAGACAATCTAAAACAAAAATCCAGAAAATCACATTGTATGATTTTTAAGTAATTAATTTGCATTTTATTGCATGACATAAGTATTTGATCAAAAAGCAGAACTTAATATTTGGTACAGAAACCTTTGTTTGCAATTACAGAGATCATAAGTTTCCTGTAGGTCTTGACCAGGTTTGCACACACTGCAGCAGGGATTTTGGCCCACTCCTCCATACAGACCTTCTCCAGATCCTTCAGGTTTCGGGCTGTCACTGTAGGTGGTCGTTAGCATTAGGAAGAAAATACAATTTCTTGCCCCGACCTAGCTCAATATCTAGGCGTTGGATAAGAACAAGACTACAGCGTCCATAAAGTCACCATTATAATTCCACCTTTCGGACTGAATACGTTTGTAAGGGCAACAGTATTAAATGTATAATTTATTGCTCTCACGAGCTCATTTCTGTCCATTGAGAACCAATTATGTGCTACCTTTTTGTAGCATTTCTGACAATGTTAACATCTTTTCAGCCAAATCTCAGAGTTCAAAAACCAGAGCAACAGCAGTAGTAGCTAGCTACAAGTAAAGGAAGCTAGCTATATTTTGCTATGGAAAGTTTGGTAACACTTAGTGTTAGCCAATTAGAAACTGACCACCTTATTGACACAACTCTGCAATAAAGAGCTCTGGAGTCTGATGCCCAGGCCCAATGTCAAAAACAAGTTCACAAACGGTTCACAACAAAACATACTTTAAATTGTTAAAGCATTTAAATGGTGTATTTGACAATGGGACAATTACTTTAACCATCAATTAACTTTTTATTAATGTCTAAAAATATTTATGGTTAAAATTGTAACAGTGTTCAAAGAATGTGTCGCGAAGGTAAGTGCAAAATCCAGACATGAAAGTGTAATGGAAATTACCATCAAAGGACTCAAGTCAATTAGTAAATTAACTTTATTAAGATTCACGCCAGCGGTGAGGTTACAACACACTCTGCACACTCAGTACAGGTCGGTCAGAAGCTCTACCAGGGGGCTGTCCCCGAGCACCTTTTATACTAGGATACACACAACTCACATAAACATGATTCATCCTCAGCACAAGAGAGGAGGTTTGGGTGCAAAAGAGAATGTGTAGCAAGACACCTGCTCCTGATAAAAGTTCTCTGAGGCTATTTCCGGGCGTTCACCCAAGAAGCTCAAGGTTCTCTCTTGGGTATTGCCTGCTAACATACACAAACACTAAAACTTCCTCCTCGTGAGCACAAAGGGAACTAGTTAAAAAACATGTCATATAGGTAATATGTATTACATCATAGCAACCAATAGACACAATCATATAGCCAGGGTTAAACAATTCATAAGATTGTCATAATTTTTCCACCACAAAAGATTGCCACGAAAGAAACAAAGTGTTGTAGGTCAAAAACATCAGCACAGGAGAAAAAGTAAGTTTCCATGCAATTTGTTTGGCTTTTTGGATACATTAATTCTGCTGGACTATTTAGCAAAGGTAGCTAGCTAGCTATTTAGCATAGGTAGTTAGCTAGCAGTTCCATTACATTACACATAAGAGTCATTGGACGAAGGCATTAACACCCTTCACTTGCGGTACATTTTTTGAAGCATAAGGACCTTATCTTTCATTTTGGCAATAAATAATTTTCCAAAAACAAAAGGTTAAATTGATGTTCACCTTTATAGTGTTAGGGTTCCCACATGTCCACATTTCCATGTTACAGTGCTTGTTTACGGAAGACAGACCGAAGACAGAGTGGACTATAGAAATCATGATGATGATAACTAGGGGTAATGTAGAGTGTCTATGCTAAATTGTCATACATTCTTCTTCTCTATCACAGATTCCCACAAGGTCTCAGACTCCAGGATGGGAAAATGCTTACAAGAAAGAAACAGATAAACAGAACTCGGGCTCCCGAGTTGCGCAGCGGTCTAAGGCACTGCATCTCAGTGCTTGAGGCGTCACTACAGACCCCCTGGTTCGATTCCAGGCTGTATCACAACCGGCCGTGATTGGGAGTCCCATAGGGCGGCGCACAATTGGCCCAGCGTCGTCCGGGTTTGGCTGGTGTAGGCCGTCATTGTAAATAATGATTTGTTCTTAACTGACTTGCCTAGTTAAATAAAGGTTAAAAAAAAAAATTTTTTAAAGATGAAGACAGTCAGAGACAGCGTTGTCGATTTTCCTTGTTACTTGTATTGTTAAAAAGGGAAGAAATAGACAATCCCATTTTTCTCTATTAGCTATCTAGGCTACTCCTACTATAGGCTACATATGAGTCACCACTAGAATAGTTATTTTTATGTTATTGAGTAGGCCTATATCTTTGTTTAATGTAATTAATCAAATAATTAAATCTTATACAATAAAAATCCTTATTTTGTAAGAAATGTACGGTATTTTTACATGTTGCAATAAAGTAGAAGCTCATCTTTCGTTTGTATGTATACTATTTTCACTTGGTAATGAGTAATACGTAATTACTCATAGGTAACTGTAAAGTTATACACTTCACTTTAAATAGCTCAATCCTGTGTAACAACTAGTGACAACCTTGTACATATGCAGATATTACAGATATGTACTCTGGTGTATTAGTATGAAAATGTATGCACTCACTAACTGTAAGTCGCTCTGGATAAGAGCGTCTGCTAAATGACTAAAATGTACAAAAAAAAGTATTTTCTCACTTGGATGGCACTTTCAGAAGCTGACGATTAGATTGTCAGAATGGTTAACGTACTTGGTAAGTACACAATAATTACAAGTAAGTACACCTCAATATACACTTCATTTTAACTAGCTAAATCATTTGTAACACCTAGTAATTACATTGTATTTATGCTGATATTACATGTACTCTGGTGTACTAGTGTTTATTTTCTCACTTGGATGGTGCTTCCAGAAGCTTTAAAATTAGGGCCAGGTTGCAGGATGGGTAACATACTATATAACGTCAAGTATGTAAGTATAATTACATTCATTACAAATGTAAGTAAGCACCCATCAAGATACACTTCATTTTAAGTATCCTCTCACTTGGATGGCAAGGAAGTTCAGGTTGTCATAATGGGTAACGTACACATAAATTATAATATATTTTTTTATTATTATCTGGGATGACACCCGTATGGTTGACCTATATCTAATATGTTTTTGTAAACTCAACTAAGATAACCCAGATGGCACACTTTTTGGGGGCTAGTGCTAGCAACATTGTGTAGAGATTTTGAAGAGTGCGCATTCACGGGTAGGTAATTAGAGCCTATTGAGCCTCCAACCGTTGTAATCTCGGACACTCAAGGCATCTGTCCACAAGAGATTACAACCTTGTGAGAGTTATTACTGATTGGATGCCGCTGAGAAGAAACTTAACACCATTTGTAACAAGTATTGTAACAGGCATTTGTTTTTACACCTCTGTAATTACAGATTGCAATTACCATCAGTTACATGTTATTACAATTAACTACAATACTTGTTACAATGTAATTGCACATGTAATTACACTGTAATAATGAACCCATCAAAAGAAGTGTAACCAAAAGTTTTTCACATGTGTGTAAACTGTTGGCATTGATACTTGCATGTAATCAGAGCACAAACAAATAAGCACAAATAAGATAACGAACGTCTTTTGCTCGTATTGCCAGTTAGCTAGCCAACCAACTTTAGCCAGTAACGTTAGCTAGCTAGCTACAAGCCAACAAGGCTGTAACATTATTAGCTGTATGGACAGATCCCGATACACCGACACAACTCAATGTTGACAATATCTCCCACATTCTTCCACAAAGCACAGCTAGCTAACTAAGTAAAGTTAATTGTCAACACCAAATTTTGGGAAACTGCCACGCTGCTAATGTATAATACATGCAATGGACATTGCTCATCTAACGTTAACGTTAGCTAACGTTACTCCATACACTAGTCAACCTGGCTGGCTTAGCAATGTAGCTGACTAACGTTGCATCCCATTGATTCCTGTAACCCCCCCCCCCCCCCCCCCCCCCCCTATTCTGGATTTCCCCGATTGTCTAAGCGATTAAAATGTGGGCCATAAGAAAAGGGAAATAAAAGTATTATCTTAGTTTTTTATGGGGCGAAGGACACTGTCTACTGGTGTCCTAGCTAGCTACTTGTGTCGTTCCCGCCTCCTGCCTGCTGTGTACCGGAGTCCTCCTAGCTAGCTAGCACACAGTGTCCTTTGCTCCCGCTTGCCGAACACCTGCCCTAGCCGTCGTTAACAGAACTGAGGGAAAGCAGTACCCTACAGGCGGGGGCGAAGGACACTGTCTACCGGTGTCCTAGATATCGTTAGCTAGCTAACTAAATCAAATCAAATTTGATTTGTCACATTCACCAAATACAACTGGTGAAGACTTTACTGTGAAATGCTAAAATAGTAACACGAGGAATCAAATAAAATACACAAGAATGGAGCTATATACAGGGAGTACCATTACTAGATCAATGTGCAGAGGTACGAGGTATTTGAGGTAGATATGTACATGAAGGCAGGGTAAAGTGACTATGCATCAGCATAAATAATAATAATAAGAGTAAAATAAAATACAGAGTAGCAGCAGCAAATGAGTGTGAAATTGTGTGTGTGTGTGTGTGTGTGTGTGTGTGTAATGTGTATGTACAGTATTGTGTTGTCGATATGCGCATGTGAGTTATGTGTGTGCGTATGTAGTGTATGTGTATGGGAGTGTCAATGTAGTGTGTGTGAGTAAGTGTGTTAATGGTGTGTGTATATATAGTCTAGTGAGTTCGGGTCAGCGCAAGATACAGTGCCTTCGGAAAGCATTCAGACCCCTTG